ATTCAATTTCATTCAATACTTATTTGCCCCCTCAGGGATTAAAGGCGCTTTTGAGGAGCGTACCCAAACCTTACAAATTTCTTACAATCTTAACTTATAGACTACTCTTACATTCTACTCTTACATCTATTATCTTATCTCTAACTTAATCTACCTATTTACTATTAAGAGAGAGAAAGAGCTGTCCTAACCTATTCCTCGCTTCGCCTCGGCTTCCAGTTCCCCATACATTCCCCAACACCTCATTCATACTTTCACACATTCTCCTCATACCACCTCCTTCCTCCTCTTCCCCTTCCACCCACCCTCCCCTCCATCCTCTTTTTCTCTAATTCCCTCATCCACCTTCTCTCCCTCCTTCTTTGCAGTATTTTCCTCATTTTTTCCCACCATTTCCCCTTATTCCCCTCTCCCCCACATTCTCCTATTACATGTTCCCAAGTTTCATCTTCCATCCCACATAGTCTGCATCTTTCTTTTCCCCTCCTCTTCCCAGTATCTCGCCCCCCTCATTTCATTGTTCATTCTATACCTCACTATCCTTCTCCATCTGCTTTCCCCCCATCCCTTTCTCAAGTATTCCGGTAAACCCTCCTCCTTCCATTCTCCATACCATCTATTGTATCTCGACTCTCTTATCTTCTCCCATCTTTCCTCCTTTTGCCTTTCTCTGTCCTTCTGCTCCCATCCCTCATATACTTCCTCCCCCCTTTCTCTTTTTTCCTCCATCTCCCTCTCTTCTATCCCCCTTCCTTCAAAAATTTTGCCCTCTCTTCCTCCCACAACAGTTTTCTCCTTTTCCTCCTTTCCTTTCCTTTACCCTCTCCTTCATCTCCTCATAGCATTTCCTCGCTAACTTCCTCCCATTCCCTCCTCTAATTTTCTCTCATACCCTATCGCTCTTCTTCCTGCTCTTATCCTGAATTTATCCTTTCCTATCTCTTCTCTTACCATATACCCCGGCGTACACCAATCTACTCCTAACGTCCACCTAATCCATCTTTCCTGCATTGCCTCTACTTCTCTCCTCTCCTTCCACCCCCATATCCCCCCCATACTCCATCACCGTTCCCACCAACCTTTCCATTAACCATACTCTTTTCATCCAGTCTCCTGCAAATCTTCTCTTTCCCATACCCCATACTTGTCTCATCACCGCTCCTGCTTTCCTCACTCTGTCCCTCACCTGCGCCTCCTGTCCTCCATTCCTTTGTAACTTATATCCTAGATACTTGAACTCTTTCACTTCCTCTAATTTTTTCCCTTTCCATCTCCACTCCATTTTCCTCATCTTCCTCCTCCCCCCTTTCTAAACCTCATTATTTTTGTCTTATCCACATTTACCTCTAGCCTTTTTTTATCCATGTAATTTTCCATTTTCCCCAACATATGTATCATCCCCTCCTCCTCCTCCGCCAACAACACCATGTCATCCGCATATGCCAAGCAGTGCACTTTTTCCCCTCCCAACTTTACTCCTCCCCAGCCTCCTTTTTTCAGCACTTCCTCTATATCCGCTATCAACAAATTGAACAAGTGTGGGCTCATTGGACAACCTTGCCTCACACCCCTTGCCGTCCAGAAGTTTTCTCCTTCCTCCTTCCCGCTCTTACTTTACTCCTCGTTTCCTTGTATACCTCTTCTATCCTACTACTTAACCCTTCTCTTACCCCCCTCTTCCTCATCGCCTCCATTAACACCTCCCTATCCACTGAGTCAAACGCCGCCTTCAGATCTATGAAGGCCGCTACTACCTTACCTCCCTTCTTCTTCACTTTTTTATTGATCAGGTAGTTTAGCACATATATACTGTCAATCACCCCATTCCCTTCCTAAAGCCTGTTTGACTCTCCGGCAACATATTCCCCCTCTCTATTTCCTCCTTTTACCCTTTCTGTTAGAATCCCCACATACACCTTATATAACGTTGGCATCAAAGTCACCCCTCTGTAGTTTTCCACCCTATTCCCCGTTCCCTTTTTTAACAGTGGTACTATTATCCCCTCTTTCCACCTCTCCGGCCATCCTTCCCCTCTCCAGACTCTGTTGCACATTTCCCATACCCACTCTTCTACCCTCTCTCCATATTTCCATACCTCACTCGGTATCCCATCCTCCCCGCTGCTTTTCCTTTCTTCAATTTCCCAATATCCTCTTTACTTCCCCCTGCTTATCTCCTGCTCCTCATCCCTCTCCCTTTTTCTCTTTCCTCCTCTTACAACTTTAACCTCTACCCCTCCCAATAAGTCCATGAAATATTCCTTCCACTCCTCCGCTTTTATCTCCTCATTCACTCCTTCTCTCTTCTTCCTTTCCCTGTTTATAATTTTCCATACCTCTCCTTCCGTTCTTGCCTCTATCGCTCCTTGTACCATCTTATCCTCTCCTCCTCCCTTTTTCCTTTACACATTAGCTTATATTCTGCCCTTTCTTTTCTGTATCCTTCTCCTCCTCCTCTTTCTTCCTCCATTCCCTTAGCTTTCCTCACTTCTTTCCTCTTCTCCTCACATTCCTCATCCCACCACCCTTTCTTTTTTCCTTCTCCACTCTCTTTTTCTCCTTCTCTCAATTCCTCTTCTATCCTTCCTATTTTTTCCTCTAGCTCCTCTTCTATTCCCTCTTTCCACCCTCTCCCCATTCTATTTCCTCTCTTATTCTTTCTCCTCCCCTCTTCGTCCATCTCCCCTTTTTTCTTATTCCTTTTCCTTCCTTCCTTTTCCCCTTTTCAGCACCTCCTCTTCTTTCTAACGTTACAATCAAAGGGTGATGGTCCGACTCTATGTTATCTCCCACCTCCATTCTCTTTATCTTTTCCTTTACTCTATCCTCTCCCACCACATAGTCTATCACCGATTCCCCTCTTCCTCCTGTATATGTGTACTCCCCCTCCCTATCCCCTCTAATCCCTCCGTTAAAAATTCCCCATCCCACTTCTTCTAGCTCTTTTATCAACTTCCTCCCATCCTCATTTACCTTCTTGTCCTTCGATCTTCTTTCCTCTTCCTCCTCTCCTCCTATCACTCCCCCCCTTCTACCTGTCCTTGCGTTGAAATCTCCTCCTAAAATCGTCCATTTGTCTTCTTCTTTCTCTTCCATCCATTCCTTCATTTCCTCCATTTTCCTTTCCATGTCCCCGTTAATGTATATACCTATTACCCTCCACTTCTCTCTTCCTACCTCTAAATCCGCCATCATTATTCCCTCCGCCTTTTCTCCCATTCCTGATACTTTTATCCTTCCCCTCTCCTCCTTTACCCCATGATCATTCCCCCCATCGGTCTTCCTTTCTTCTTTCTCTTCTTTGCTGCTTGCTTCTCTCCCATCTATATCCTTTCGGTAACCTCTTTTTAATCGCCTCCCACCCCTTTTCCTCTATCCATGTTTCCATCATCACCACTACCTCCCAATCCTCTATTTCCTTCCAGAATTTTTCTTTCCTTGTTTTTCAACCCTGCCACATTCCAAAAACCTATCTTCCATTCCTCTCTTACTTCTCCTTTTCCTTTCTTTCTCTCTTGCTCCTTTCTTCTTTCTATCTCCGTCTCCCTTTCTCCCTCCTCCTTTCTCTTCTTACTACTCTTCTTCCCTTCTCCTTTCCTTCCTTCTTCTTCTTCTCCCCTCTTCTATCCCTTTTTTTCCTCCATTCTTGTCTTCATGCCCCCCTCTTCTTCCACCTCCATTTTCTCCATTCCTTCTCTAATTTCTCCTTTCCAGTTCTTGAGCACTCTTTCTTCCTCTTCCCTCTCCATTTCCACCAAACATCATTGATTTTTATCCTACCGTAGCTTGTCCACACCTTGTTCCCTTTCCTCTTTTCTTCCTCCGCAATTTCCATTATTCTCCATTTCATCTTTCTTTCCTCCCATGTTAGGTCGTCCTCTATCCTCACCCTCTTTCCTCTTAACAGACTCTTTTTTCCATTACCTGTCTCTTTTGTTCTCTGCTGCCTAGTCTTACAACCACCATTTCTCCTTCCTTTCCCTCCTTTCCTTTCAACCTTCTTATCCATTCTATTTCCGTTTCCGCTCCTATTTCTTTCATTATTTCTCCACTCTTTCTTTTATATCTTCCTTCCCTTCTCTATTCTTCTTATCACGATGTTATTCCTTCTTTCTTCTCTCTCTTTCCACTCTAACTTCTTTCCTATGTCTCTCATTTTCCCCATTATTGACTCACCTAACCCCTTACTTCCTTCCTTCTCCCCCCTCTCTTTCTCTTTCTTTCTTTCTTTTACTTTCTTTTCTATTCTTGCCTCCAACTCTATCACCCTTTCCTCCAGTCTTTCTATCTTTTTTCCCATTTCTTTTCTTTCTTCTCTCCATTCCCCCCTCCTTTTTCCATATTTCAATCTTCAATTTTCTTATTTCCTCTCACCCAACTTCTCTGTAATCTTCTTTCCTATCTCCTCCATCATCCTCTTAACTCCTCCTTTTCTATCCCCCTACTTCTCTGTTCAGCCTTTCTGTTTTTTTGCTCCTTCTCAGATTCTTTCCTCTTCATCCTTATCCTCCTCTCCCCTTCTTCCTTTTTTCCTTTCAAGAAATCCTCTATACATCCCATACTGCTCCTCCTCTCTTTTCGCTAACCCAGGGAGAAACAAGAAATCGGATCGACGTCGATTAGACGTAAATAACGTCTATAACTTTTTCAGTTCAAATTAGACGTCGACTAGACGTCGATATTATTTGCTAAAACAATCAGGCCAGACATCAATAAACATTTCATTTTAATCCATAATAAAATACTTTTCATGTAAAAAACATATATTAAAATTTATATATAAAATATATATGTGATCCATATATATATATATATATTTTTTTTTATGTGTTGTATAATTTCTCTTTGTGTGTGTAATATATTAATTAATTATAAAAATAAAGGTAAATTAATTATATATATATATTACTAATTATGTATGAGGAAACTTTATATGAAAATATAACTTTAATTATTTAAATGATTGGTTCGATAACGCTTATTTTGATTTAACTGTCGTATAAAAGATAAGTTGCGAGTTGCGACACCGCCTTGCGACTAAATATAGTACCAACTTAACGCAACGAGTTAACGAACTCATTCTGTTATTGTTCCGTGATCGATGATCATTCGTTGAAGTTCGTTGAATGTTGAACTGTGCTTGTGATAATATTTGTTCTTCTGGAGGCCTATTCTGTAACTTTTAACAAATGCGTTATAACTGTAACGCATGCGTTAGTCGTCGTATCGTCGACGAATTCATGGTTAACAAATGAATTATAGTTATAACGCATGCGTTAAAAGTTACAGAATAAGTCTGCTGGATCGATTGCTATTCTAATAAAGAAGTCATCACCAACAAAAATGAGTGAAAGTCCACCGGTAAGTGCTTCATAATTTATAATTTCTTAATAATCTACTTTTTACTTTTGTGCCTCAAGTCGTCTGTAGGTTATAATTGTTTCATAAATAAATTACAATTTTCATATAAATAGTTCATAATTTATATATATATTAATAAATTATTTTGATTTATTTAATTAAAAATATTGTATGCTCTTATATATACACTTTTCTTTAACTCACTCTTTAACTAACCTCAACATATACGGAATTATTAATAATAATATTGTCACTATTGCTTCTTTTTTGCTATTATTTATTTAAAGTTTATTATCAAAATTTATTACATAACATTATTGTGAATGCAGTATAAGCAATATATTTTAGTACTGATGTTGTTCTTGTATTATTTTTACATCTATCATAGGAAAGTAGGAATCGTCGTAGAAATACGAACAAGCAAATAATTAATGAATTAGTTAGGCAATGTAGGAATCAAAGAAAATTGGACGATTTAAGAAATCGAATTACTACTGTCTACAAGACAGAGGCTTCATCCGATAAAGAGGTTTCATCCGATGAAGAGGTTTCATCCAATGAAAAGGTTTCATCCGATGAAGAGAATAATGAAATGCTGCCCATTCCAGGGATTGAAGATATTTCTTTATTAGAAACAAATTCTGAAGTATCAACAGAATCTGATGCATCTATCGATCAACTTGAAAATGAAAATATGGATGATAACAATAATTATAATAATGACAATGACAGTGAATTACATTTTGAAGATGAGAATAATGACAGCGAAGGAAGTGTTGAAATTAATGATGCTAACAGATATAGTAACGATGAAGAAAATGATGATTTAATGATTGAATTTGAAAATGACGAACAGAGAGGACGCTATGTTTTAAAAACATTGAGGGAGTGGGCCCTTGAAGGAGGTGTGTTATCTATGAAGAAGTTAAATGATTTACTTCGTAGATTGAGAGTATTGTTTCCCATCTTACCTAAAAGCTACAAAACCTTACTCCAAACTTCTCGAGATTTAGATATTGATCGATTACCTGATGGATCTCAAATGTGGTACAAGAGTATAAGAACAAACCTTGACAACATGCTTCTTGATGAATATTTAAATATTTACAATTCTGTTATTATTGATATCAATATGGATGGCCTTCCATTGTCTAAAAGTTCTAAATTAAAAGTTTGGCCAATTTTAGGTTATTTAGTAAATACAGAAAATGAGCCTTTTATTATTGGTTTGTACTTTGGTGATCATGATCCTGTTGACATACATTTTTATCTGCACAAATTCGTAAATGAGCTCGAAGATTTATTGGAAAATGGATATATTCGGGATAATTGTACATATCCATTCATAATAAGAAATTATGTTCTTGATGCACCAGCTCGCTCATTGGTGAAACGCTGTGTTAGTCATGGAGGTTATGGAGCTTGTGAAAAATGCACATGTGTTGGTGAATATGTTGCGGATCGTATAGTTTATACAAATCTGAATGCTCCATTGCGAACTGATCATTCATTTATTATTCAAGAAGATCCACTTCATCATATATGCCGTTCTATTCTAAAGAGAGTAGATACAGGAATGGTGTCTCAATTTAGATTGGATTCATTTCATTTAGTTTGGCATGGAGTTTTCAAACGATTATGGATGGTATGGATGCAATGGAATGGGCCATGGAAACTTAACAAGTTCTCCAGAAAAAATATTTCTAACAATCTAAATTTTTTGAGGGATTTCTGTCCAAGTGATTTTTGCAGACTACCAAGATCAATTGATGACTGGAAAATGTACAAAGCTACAGAAGAGAGACGATTATGTCTTTATGATGGACTCCTAATATTTCGAAATAATTTGCAAGAAAATGTTTATAAAAACTATCTCTTACTTCAAGCTGCCCTGTATATTCTCTCTAGTCCTTTACATGTTAATGTATTGAATGACTTTGCTAATGAATTGCTTAGAGCATTTATTAAGCATTGTATAGAATTGTACGGGAAACGTTTTGTGGTATATAATGTTCATTCGCTTTCTCATTTAGCTCAAGAATGTGCAGAGCATGGTTCTCTGGAGAATTTTAGTTCTTTTATGTTTGAAAATCGCTTAAAATCAATCAAAAGTAGCCTAAAATCTGGATATAAACCACTGCAACAAGCTGTATTACGGGATTTAGAACGAGTCAGAGCAATAAAAATTAAATTAAAAGCTAAAGAGAAGATTATTCACCTTTCTCACAGACATGAGGATGCAGAAGAACAATTACCAGGAACACACTTTCGGTGTCTTTCTATTGATAGTATGGTATTACGGATTGATATAAAGAACTGTTGCTTCTGCACAACAGATGGAAATGTTTACATTTTAAGGAACATTGTAAAGCAAGAGAGAAGAGTGATGCTTGTTTGTAACAAGTTTCAGGATATAGGCGATTTTTATACATATCCTTTTCCATCCTCTCGATTAGGTATTGTGAGAGTTTCTCAAATAGATGACGAAAGGTTCATTGTGCCATTGCATGATGTTCATGCTAAATGTTGGTTAATGCCCTATTCCGATGATTGTTTTTTATGTGTTCCTCTTCTCCATACAATATTATTCCAATAATATTTGAGATTTTTTCTGTTAAGGTATGCAATATAAGTAGTAATCTTAGTATAGGTTTACAAATTTTTTCAAATGAAACCATTTGTCATTACGTGGAAAGTGTAATTTGTGACATGAAAAAGTGACAAGAAAAAAGTTTTTATATTTTATGCTTATTGTAATTTTATGTGTTTTGCAGTTTATGGTTGTGAAATTCTTATCTACTGATGATGAAGAAACTGATGATGAATGTTACGAGGTGGCTCTTTCAAAATGGCTTGAAGATTTAGATGAAAATAGGATTGGAAATATATTCTGGCCAGAAGATAAATCTATAGCAGGGACATTAGTTCGAACTCAAGCAAATGCGGAATCAAATTGGCCCACTTATACAGTGGAAGTTAAAAGATACTATGGTGAGCAATTTTCTCTTATATCTTCTTTTTTCTGCCTGTTTAAAAGTTATTAATAATATGGTTTGTTGCACTAGATACATATTTTCAAGCGCGAAAAGGATTAACAGGAATAATAGAGTATGCTTCAGCCTATGAGACTGATACTGGAAAAGAAATGGGAAGAGGAAAGAGGAAGAAAAAAGTAAAACCATTCACGTCTTCAGAGGAATCTGATAATGATCAGTGTGTAAAAGATCAATTGAAGAAAAAAAAGTGTAGCATTCCTTCACCACCAACAATCCATGTTCCTGGAACTTCTATCTCAACTGATAAGAATTCTGGTCATATTAAATACAAAAGACATATTATTGAAGATTCCTCAAGCATAAAAAAACTGAAAGTTGCAAAAGATTCAAGTGAATCTACAGGATCAGAAAATACTCGTGAACGATTGCTTGAAAAGATTATCAATGAAAGAAAAAAGGCTATGAAAAAAAATGAGAAAAATAATACTACATTATTTGCTGCACATTCACAAGTTTTACAACCATCATCAGGAAAGCAATCTACATCTAACACCTTTCTTTGTCAACGTAACATGAAGACTTCCTCTACATCAAAAATTGTGAAATCTCCAGAGAAGACTGCAGTCAATAAGCTCAGAGAATTGTTTGATAACACTAAGACAAAAACCAAAGAAAAGGTTAAAAAATCTAAACCCTCTACAGCTTCTGAAGTTTCCTTAAAAATTACACCAGGTCCTTCTAACAACTATTCTGAAAGATCTAATATGAGTCCTTCGACAGAGTCCGATATTTCAAGGAAATCAGATGATCCGCTTAGAAACCCACAGAAATCTCCTTCTTTGTTGAATTTGGAATTAGAAAGAGAACATAATCCGATAAATCCTTTGTCTCAATCACCATCAGTAAATGATGATACTTCACAAGATACTACACTACTCGCACAAGAAGAAAAGAGCAGCCCACTTTCTTCCAAAGAAAAATTAGAGCGACCTGTTCGTAATTTGACAAATGTTCTTAGTGCAGGTATATTAGATTGTTTGCTCATACACATGTGTATATGTATGTGAATGTATATATATATCCCAGACAGCACAAAATGGTCGAAGAATGTTCAAAGAACATTTTGTGTTGTCTGGGTATATATATATATATGTAATGTGTATATGTATATTTTAATAATTTGTCATTTTATGTTTACATATATATTTTCAGATTTTGATCAACATTTTATAACATTGAAAAAGAACTTAGACGACATGAGCAGCAAGCTTGACGTCATTATTATGAACCAAGCGAACTTAAATAAATGTTTGATTCCGGAACAGGCTATCATTACTAGACCTTCAAATCTACCTCCTTTACCTTTAAATGATATGAAAAGTCTCGAAGAATTTGACAAATTTTTATCTAAAGATGTAAATCTGTCGGCAGCGGTAAGTAATATTTTATATGCTTATATAATCCAATATATTTTTATTACAATTTTTATTATAGTTATTATAATAATTCTTTAACATTATTTGTGCTATGCTTCTTATATTTTTAAATATATCATACAAGTATATTTTTATTTATTAACATGAGTGATAAATAAATAAATGTGTGTGTGTGTGTGTGTAACGTTGACAAAGAGAGGTGCTAATGATTTTTCCCGGTGTTTATATTTTTTACAGTGTTACTATTTGAAGAGTTTGCCGTTAGGTGATAATGAAAAAATTGTAGCATCAAGACTTATGACCAAATTGATGACTAATTCCTTAGCGAAACAATTCAACTTTGATGGTCATAATCCTCAAAAGGCTAAAGTTAATAAAAGGCCATTTAAGAAACTGAAACTATGGGAATTATTTCAAGGTATTTTATCTTCTTTTCAATATTTTGTTTCATCTTAAGTTTATTGTAGAAAAAATTCATAAATATTTCTTTTTTTTCTAGGAGTTATGCTATTAAAATTTCCTACCAGTGATTTGGAAGATGCCTTAAATGCAGTCAGAAATTGGCTACGAAACGCTGCTGGGCGTAAGCAATGAAATGTGCAATTTCATTTTTTTTATTTTTAACAGAATCTAATGTATAAGAAAAGCAGAGGTAAAAAGTGCTCGCATACGAGAATATTGCGTTGTGATATCTTATTATTCTTAGACGACTCTTTACAAGGTCTTTTTCTCGATACAAATTAGCACGGGGGAGGTTTCCCATTAAAAGGGAAGAGGTCATTTAATATTCGTCATAAAATGCAATTAATTATTTTTTTTTCTTGAATGTGAAATATGATCTCTATTCATGTGCAATTTGCGAAGTCTTATGTCATTTTTATTTTGTTATTGTATTTTTGATATTGCTGCTTTATTTTGAATATTATTTGTCTTATTTTTTATTTATGTAACTGATAAGACATTGTCAGGTTTAAATTTGATTTGAATTATTACATATAAAAGTTTTTAGTTGAAGTATGTATATGTAGAATATATATGTACACTAATAAAGAATGTATATATATATACATATATAAAATATATATATTTATAATATATATATATCAAGACACGATAAGATGGCATATACTGGAGTTTTCAGTATGTCAACAAAGATTATCCTGTATTGAAATTGTCCAATACATATTAATAAAAAATAGATATAAGGTTAATAATACATATAAAATTATTTTCTAAAGTGTCTTTTCCATCCTTTCAGTTTCAATTATATAAATATATGTATAACAATCTAAATACCAAGATCCAAATAATTTTAGTGTTGGTTCTATTTTTTTCATTCGTAAATTAAAAAGGTAATGTAAATTTTCTAAAGAAAATATATTTGCATGCATCCAATATTACAATTCAATGAATGTTTACTGAGCAATTTGTTTTGATTAGAATATTACATTATTCTATATTTTACAATAAAAATATACTTAGAATTAAAATAAAATGTTCACTGAATATATACGTAATATACTTATCCCGTGCACATTTTATTTTAATTCTAAGTATATTTTTATTGTAAAATATAGTATAAGTAATATTTAATCAAAACAAAAGCATACGCATTATTGATTCATAATTTTAATGCATTTGCAACGCTATTTTTCTTTAGAAAATTTACATTACCTTTTTAATTTACGAATGAAAAAAATAGAACCAACACTAAAATTATTTGGATCTTGGTATTTAGATTGTTATACATATATTTATATTAATTGACTGAAAGGATGGAAAAGACACTTTAGAAAATAATTTTATATGTATTATTAACCTTATATCTATTTTTTATTAATATGTATTGGACAATTTCAATACAGGATAATCTTTGTTGACATACTGAAAACTCCAGTATATGCCATCTTATCGTGTCTTGATATATATATATTATAAATATATATATTTTATATATGTATATATATATACATTCTTTATTAGTGTACATATATATTCTACATATACATACTTCAACTAAAAACTTTTATATGTAATAATTCAAATCAAATTTAAACCTGACAATGTCTTATCAGTTACATAAATAAAAAATAAGACAAATAATATTCAAAATAAAGCAGCAATATCAAAAATACAATAACAAAATAAAAATGACATAAGACTTCGCAAATTGCACATGAATAGAGATCATATTTCACATTCAAGAAAAAAAAATAATTAATTGCATTTTATGACAAATATTAAATGACCTCTTCCCTTTTAATGGGAAACCTCCCCCGTGCTAATTTGTATCGAGAAAAAGACCTTGTAAAGAGTCGTCTAAGAATAATAAGATATCACAACGCAATATTCTCGTATGCGAGCACTTTTTACCTCTGCTTTTCTTATACATTAGATTCTGTTAAAAATAAAAAAAATGAAATTGCACATTTCATTGCTTATGCCCAGCAGCGTTTCGTAGCCAATTTCTGACTGCATTTAAGGCATCTTCCAAATCACTGGTAGGAAATTTTAATAGCATAACTCCTAGAAAAAAAAGAAATATTTATGAATTTTTTCTACAATAAACTTAAGATAAAACAAAATATTGAAAAGAAGATAAAATACCTTGAAATAATTCCCATAGTTTCAGTTTCTTAAATGGCCTTTTATTAACTTTAGCCTTTTGAGGATTATGACCATCAAAGTTGAATTGTTTCGCTAAGGAATTAGTCATCAATTTGGTCATAAGTCTTGATGCTACAATTTTTTCATTATCACCTAACGGCAAACTCTTCAAATAGTAACACTGTAAAAAATATAAACACCGGGAAAAATCATTAGCACCTCTCTTTGTCAACGTTACACACACACACACACACACATTTATTTATTTATCACTCATGTTAATAAATAAAAATATACTTGTATGATATATTTAAAAATATAAGAAGCATAGCACAAATAATGTTAAAGAATTATTATAATAACTATAATAAAAATTGTAATAAAAATATATTGGATTATATAAGCATATAAAATATTACTTACCGCTGCCGACAGATTTACATCTTTAGATAAAAATTTGTCAAATTCTTCGAGACTTTTCATATCATTTAAAGGTAAAGGAGGTAGATTTGAAGGTCTAGTAATGATAGCCTGTTCCGGAATCAAACATTTATTTAAGTTCGCTTGGTTCATAATAATGACGTCAAGCTTGCTGCTCATGTCGTCTAAGTTCTTTTTCAATGTTATAAAATGTTGATCAAAATCTGAAAATATATATGTAAACATAAAATGACAAATTATTAAAATATACATATACACATTACATATATATATATATACCCAGACAAC